GTGACGGATCTGGGTGGGCGGTTCCGTGAGCGTGGTGGACCATTGGACGCTGCGCCGCTCTCGACGGTGGCGGTGGCAGCCAGGGGTGCTCCGACGAACTGCGGGGTGATGCGCCAGGTGCCACCGCAGTACCACCCCGTGCGGCATCTGACTGCCTAGCACTCCTGAAGACAGGGGCGAGCGCGGGCGCTGAACTGCCGGCACTCCCCCCCCACCTGCGACTCTCAATAAATGCACGTGTGCTCTCCTCGTCAAATGCCGCAGAGTCCACACCATCCCTCAGAGGCGGGGGCTCGTTGGCTGGCGTGGAACGACCAACTCCCACATCGCGAGYACCTCGTGTCCCAGCCAGCGGCGCAGACGACGGGGCTGTCAATCGTGTTGCAACTGTTGTTCCAGGACGCGGTACCATGACTCGAATGGCCGGAGCCCCAGAATAGGGCGATGCGACGGCTTCATAAAGGGCGGTGGGAGGAACCAGTGGCGGCACTGCGTCCTCGGGGAATCGAAGAGGTGGCCACTGCAAGCTCGGATGACCTGGGAAATGGCTCTGCAACGTTTCTATGGCCGACGCGAACTCCTTTGGACATTTTGTCATGTCCTTCGACCAGATCGTATTCCACACAGCAGGAGTGGCTGCCTCACATCGGAACTTCTCGCTCTTCGAGAAGTGCTCCTTGGCGGCCTTAGCGCCCCCACAAATCGAACGCCCGCACAACCTACACAGGCATCGACGACCGCTCTTCCTGCCTGCCGCCGTCGACCCATCCAAATAACGCCCTCTGGCCACGAAATGCCACACCGGGTCGTCCCGCTTGCCGTCGACTGTCGGGTCGACCTTGAACGGCGAGTCAAACGTCTTCGTGTTATGACCTTGTCGGGCGGTCGTGAGCGAGTCTAACGGATCCTTCCCCCGGTCTTGTGACATGATGAAAGTCGCCAACCACGAAAAAAAAAGACGATGTCGGAACCCTCTGAGAATGTTGCCAACTCGCAACAGAGATCGAAGTCGGCGTCAGAGCGGCAAAGAAATGCTATGAAACAGGCAAAAACGATGAGCGCAAAGTACAGAACACCTGGACATCAAAGGGAAAACACAAGACGACATGAAAAAAAAAAATAAAAAACCAAAGAACAACAAAAAAAACTCAGAACTCGGAGGCAAAAAAAAAAAAAACGCCGATGTTCTCTGTCCCTTGTCAAAAAAACGACAACGTTCTCCGCAAGGCAACCGTTCCACAGGCGGAACTTCCGATTCCAGGAGGGCGATCCCACTAGCCACGTATGTGGAACAGTGTGACTGGTGTGAGATGGCTGGGGGACAGGCGGGTGGTAGAGGGAAAGAGGGAAAATAAACGGAAAAAAAAA